CGGGGGCCCCCGGGGGAGCCTCTCGGGACTCGGTGAACCCTGCAGATAAGGGGCCTTGCAGCTGGCTGCTGTGCGCGGTTCAAAACACGCCGCAGGGCTGGACGAGATAAGGGCTGGGGCGGCTGCCGGCGGCGGGGACATCCCCCGTGTCTCCTGCTCAGAGCTGTGGGAATCCCGTGTAAGTGCCGCAAACCCGAAGGAGCAGGGCTCAGAGCCCACCTTTCCTTTCCTCGGCATGGGTAGCACGGTGAAGCCGGGTGCAGGCCAGAAGTGGAGGTGTGGAGGAGGCGTCACTGCTGCACGCCGGGCAAAAACCCGCGTGGGGTGAGGGTGCCTGAGCGGGGAGCCTCCCGGGAGCATTTTCTGCCTGCCAGCGCCTCGCGATGTGACGGGCAGCGAGGTGATGGGGAGGCTGAAATGCTTCGCCAGGCTCCTTCCTCCAGGGGCAGGGGCAGAGCGGCGGTGGGGGCTGCGGTGAGGTGGTTTGCATGTGGAGGCAGGGCTCAGGAAGCACAACAACAAGCGCAGTAGGAAGTGCCACCAGCTCGCTGGTGGAAACGGCGCGTAAAGCACACCGGGAGCAGAAAGCCAGCCACAGGCTGCTGGAGGGGATCGGAGAAGAGGATGCAGAAGAAAAGCCAAACAGAGCTTGTCCTCTGCTCTCCGGGAGAGCCCGAGCTGTGTCCTTCTGCCAGGGGGCTCAGCGAGCGCCCGAGGAGCCCGGAGGAAGGCTCATAAAGCCAACGTTGGTAACGTTCAGCGACAGGAAAGGGAGGGTGAAGCAGCCAAGCCTTGTGTGCGACGCGTGCTCGCTCATCCACTGCTGCCCCAGCCCACCAGAGACCGGGAAGGGGGAAGATGTGACGCTGATTTCTAAGAAAGGCTGGGGGGAACTTCGGGGAAAAGCTGGCTGGGGAAGCTGCTGCATGTCGCGTCCCACCCACCTGCACCGCGACCCGAGAGGCCAACCCAGCCCGTGGGGAGCTGGCAAGTGCCGAGGGTCCTGCATGGGCACCCCGGGTCCCCAAGCTGGGCGAGTGCTTCGGAGGGAGCCTGGGCTCGCGGTGGCCGCACGGCTTGCCAAAACGCACCCAACGAGGTCTTTCAGCCCAGTTTTTCGGGAAGCTGGCGGGGCAAGAGGGAAGGTCCTTGCGTGGCCGGGTAATTGGTTCCAAAACAGGAAGCAGGGCGTAGGAGGCCGTGGTCAGTCCCTGCGGTGGCAGGAGATGGCTGCGTCCAGCTCCGTGCTTTTCCAGCGCCGTCAGGAGCGACCTGGAAAAGGGAGCGAGTGAGCAAGGAGCTGAGGGTTCGCCTGATGCTATCGAATTACGGTGCCTAGAGCACAGAAGAGCATTGCGACACCAGGCAGCTGAAATTCGGTTTAGATAAAAATCAAGTGATGCACGAGGGGGAAATAATAGTCCCAAATCTGCAGAGGAGATTACACGCTGAGCTGGCCGCTCACAGCGAGGCCTGGGGCTATTTCAGATAGCTCGGTGTGCAGCCAGAGTCACTGAGTGCATCAAGTCGTTAAGAAAGAGCCTTTGTCACTCTTTGCAAGCCACCAGGAGCACCAAAGCAGGAAGGGCTGGTGCCATTGTTCAGATCCATGGCTCATCCACTCGTAATGCGGCCCCCTTACGGCCCCCTCATCTCCGAAAGGCTTCGGGAGAACGAGGGGAAAGATTTGGAGGAAAGCAAAGAGGAGGATCAAAGGCGCAGAGCTGTTGCTGTATGACTAAGTGAGCTAGAATTTTTCTGTTTGGAAAACATGATCGAGGGTGGCTAGGATCCACGCCTGGAAAGTCATGGCTGGCACGAGAAGGGGTCTAAAGTGTGTCCAGGCTTTGGATCCGAGGGCGAGGGAGCCTTGGCGATGCCGTGCGGCGGAGGAGTTCCTTGCCGCGGGACACTGCCCTTGCTCAAAGGGCTGTTGAGTTGCAGGGGAAGTGGAAAGTTTCACAAAGCGAAACCCTCAGCGAGTTACAAAACACGTACCAAGGCTGTCTGACCGAGGGGCAGCAGTGCTCGGCAGCTGAGAGCGCACGCACGGAGCTGCTCTCCCTGCTCATGCCGTGCCCCTTGTTGCCTTTGGCCCTCCTAGAGACCCCGTTTCAGGCTGGCCGGGCTCCGTGTCGCGCCGGGGCACCTGCCCTGCGTTTTCGAGGCCTCACGTTCGTCCCGGCACCGCGGCAAGGTGCGCCACCATGCACACTCATGCCTCTTGCAAAATGTGCCAGGTGTGCGCACAGCTGAAGGCGGGGGCGCGTGGGACAGACACGACTGCAGACGGAGGCACGGCCGCGGCAAGGAAGGGGCACCCCGAGCGTGCGGGTGGCCTGGCCGGGGACGTGATCTCGACGCCTTTCCCATCCTCCAGCTGAGCCGAGGTTTCATGTGACTTGTTTTCACCGGACCTCCGTGCCCGTAGGTAAACTCCGGCGGCCCCAAGTCAGCCTTCCTGCTGGCGCAGGGGGGACAGGACGGAAGAGGGAAGGGGGCGATGGCTGGAGAGGCAGCTGGCCCTGCCCCGTCTTGGCTGCGGGGGCAGGAAGTGCTGACCTTATCCCTGCAAAGCGATCCGGCGCTGGCCGGCGGCAGGAGGATGCCAAGGTGCTCGCCGGAGAGCCTGCCAGCCGCCCCTTGGCTGGGGTGGCAGAAAGGGCTTCTCTTTAACGGGCTGGTGTTTGGGGACGAGGCTCATGGCATCCCCATCCCTCGCCCTGAAATGGCTCCGTGGAGCCGGACGCGCTCTTTGTTCGCTGTTGGCGAAGGCGGCAGGAGCCGAAGGGAAGGGGGTGAGTGGGAAGGGAGGGGTGAGGAAGCCTCCGAAGCGGGTGACAAAGTGCCGCCTGCAGGCGTGGCTCCTGCAGTGCCAGTTTTTCTGCAGAGCTTGGGCGTTTCGCTCACATCCCTGCCCTGGGCTGCCAGGCTTGGCCCGACACAATCGGTGTCGCCTAAGCGCGTGCCTGAGCCTTTGTGCCAAGCAAATGGGCAATTAAAATTGTGCTTCCTCTCATTCACGTGTGGTCAAAGGGGATAACTCCTCGCTTGCTGAGCCCGTCCGACTCCTCATCCTGCTCCTTTTGCTCACGCAGCACTTCAGAGGAGATGGGGAGGCCAGGAACAAGAGTCCTTACTCTTGCCCTGCGCCCTCCGTCGCACCGGTGGCCGCGGTGAGGTCCCCAGGAGGTGGCCAGAGGTTGGAGGTGGGCTCCATCCCTGGCCCGTTGATGTGGGGTTGCTCGCAATCTGCCGTCGGATCGCTCTCGCATGGTTGCCACCTGTTGCTTGTGTTGCTTTGTTTGACCTCTCGTGTTTACTGGAGGGCCGTTTGGAAGAGTTGGCAGCTGGACGCGTTTCCTGCCGTAATGAGCTCTGACCCGCGCGCCCCTTGGCAGCCACCGGCTCTTTGTGGAAAAAAAAATAAATAAATAAATGAGAAGGCGCTTAGCAAAGTGAGACAGAAAACAAACAGAGCAGGCAGGAGGCTGCGGCTGGGCATCACCCGCTGAGGTCAGGCTCCTGACGCAGGGATGCTGGCGCTCCGCGGACGGAAGCGGGAGGTGTCCGGGAAGGGGCAGCGTCACAGAAGCGTCCCCAAAACCCCGATCCCGCCCCCCCCCTGCATCCTCCCTGCCACCGGCAGCCCCGTGCCACCTCGTGCACGGTGCCCTTTGCCTGCTGCCTTCTCCTGGGCAGCGGGACCCGGGCTGCCTGCCAGCCCCGGTACCCGACACCTCCGCCGCGGGTGCCACCAGAGCCACATGGCCACGTCCCCGTGACATGAGCCGGGGCTGAGCACTCGCCCCCATTAGCAGGAGGAGCACGTGCTGCCTTGAAATAGGCTGGACCCGGGGGTAGGATCAGCATCTGGGGCTCTGTCCTCCCCAGGTATGTGTGTGCCGCTGGTTCCTCGGCTTCTTGGGACACCAGCATGACCCAAGGGAAGCTGGTGGGGTTTGTCTGGGGAAGGGGTGGCTTACTGGGGACCTGCTGGGCGAGCTGGGGCTCTGCTGCCTGTTTTTTGGGGTCAACCAGCCGCCTTGGTGGTGTTTCTGCACATGGGGGGTAGCAGCCACGCTCTCACCCCCCTGCTAATCCAGCGCCAGCCGTGCCCGGAGGCTCCCCTCCCGGTTGCCTTTAAGGCAGGCTGCCCTCGCAAGGACTACAGATCCCGGCATGCTGCTTCCCTGCCAGCCCCCGCGGCCGCCCTGGCTGGCAGGGTGCTGCAGGCAGGCAGGCAGGGAGGGATGCTGCAGCAGGACGGGAGGCAGGCGAGGCCGGGGGGCGGTGGGGGGGTGAGCTCCGGGAGCCCCGCTGCGGACCACGCGCCCCTGGAGAAGTGGCCGGGTGCCCCATGCGCCGCCCCGCCTGGAGAAGGACAAGGCAGGCCTGTGGGGAACCCTCTCTGCCCCATTGAGAGGGAAAAGGGACGGGGTTGTGGATGGGGTCCTGTTTCCCCCCGCAGGGGCTGTACCCGCAGCGGTGGGTGCTGGGGAGGGGAGGAGGGATGCCCTTGGCTCGCCCAGGAACGGACTGTGAGAGCCTTGGGGAAGAGGGGATCGGAAAAAGGTTTGTGGGGCGCTGACCCGAGAGGCCACCGTGTCCGAAACGTGCCCTGTGTCCTTTGTCCCTCCGCACCCCCGGCGCTAGAAGGATGCGGGGAGGGCGGGGGGAGCGGCCGCAGCCCAGTGCGCATACGCTTCGGGGATTCCTGGGGATTGGGGGCAGAGCTGCAGGCTCACAAATCCCTTAAGAGCCCGCAGCCGAGCGGCAGGCGGCCGGGGTGGAGCAGCGTGGGCATCTGGGGAGGGCAGCCCTGCCGTGGGAGGACAGGCGGTGCCCCCCGAGCAGCGGCACGGAGGTGGCACAGCGCTTGGGCTGCGGGCAGTCCCGAGGAGCCGCTCGGCCAGCGGCACGGCGCCGGGGTGAAAACCTGCAGCGGGAGGCCCCCGCCTGGCCTCACGGCCCCATAAAATCCTCTGTTTGCTTCCCAGGACCCGCGCTGAGCCTCGCTGCGGAAGATGACAGCAAGAGACGGGCCACAGGACAGGTAACGCCGAGCGGGCACGGGGCGCGCGCAGGGGACCGGGACATTTTGGGGTGGGCAGCACGCAGGGGGGACCCTGGTCCTGCTATTTAGTGGGTTACGGAGCTGTAGGACGCCAAAGGGCCCGTACGGGCTGAGCCCCTGGGGAGTGCTGTGTCTCTGCTGGCCAGCAGTGGTTGTGGCAGAGGCTGGGAGCAGCAGGATCCCTCCCTGCCCGTGGAGACCGCTCCCTGAGGGGCTCCATCAGTTTTTCCACAGAAAAATGTTTTTTGTACCTTGTGCAGGTACAAGGCTGTCTGGCTGATCTTCTTCATCCTTGGGCTGGGAACGCTGCTGCCATGGAATTTCTTCATGACTGCCAGGGAGGTGAGGGCTTGCGGCACCGCAGGGGAGGCAGAAGCGGGGGTGAGGTGGCAGGAGGAGCCCTGGGCTGGCTGTGGGGCGGGAGGGGGGACAGGGATGGCCTGGGGAGGCACCTCATCCCCTCCTTCCCTGGCAGTATTTCATCGGCCGCCTGGAGGACGCGAAGAACATAAGCCAGCTCGGGAATCAGAGCACTGGGGCTGCCTTGTCCCACTCCTACCTGCACTCCATGTTTGACAACTTCATGACTCTCTGCGCCATGGTGCCCCTCCTCGTCTTCATGTGCCTCAACTCCTTCATCCACCAGCGGTGAGCACGGCCCCATCCTTGCCCCCTGCCAGCCCCCTCCAGGGCCAAACTGCTGGGTTTTGGCTGCGACACCCTGGGGAGAGCTTTCAGGCCTCCAGGAGCTGGGCTTTCCTCACTCGAGGCCCTCTCTTGCAGGATTCCCCAGCAGATCCGCATCCTGGGCAGCCTGGTGGCCATCGGGCTGGTGTTCTTGATCACCGCCGTCATGGTGAAGGTCGCCATGGAGCCGCTGCCCTTCTTCATCTTCACCATGATCAGCATCGTCTTCATCAACTGTGAGCGAGGCCGCGGGGCTGGGACCGGGCTCTGTGGGAAGGATGAGGACCCTCCGTGGCCCTGCGGGGGCTCCCCACAGAAGCACAGCGTACCCTCGCCTTTGGTTTCTCACTCCTGCTTCTCGTTTTTCCCCTCGCAGCCTTCGGGGCCATCCTCCAGAGCAGCCTCTTCGGCCTGGCGGGGCTCCTGCCCGCCAACTACACGGCTCCCATCATGAGCGGGCAGGGCTTGGCGGGCATCTTCGCCGCCTTGGCCATGATCTTCAGCATCGCCAGTGAGTAACCCCTGCCCTGTGGCCCTGCGGGTCAGCAGGGTGCTGCTGGCTCCTCATCCTCATCCTTTTCTCCCCGTCCCTTCCCCAGTTGGCGCTCAGCAGCCAGAGAGCTACATTGGTTACTTCACCACGGCGTGCGTGGCCATCCTGCTGGCAATCTTCTCCTACATCCTCCTGCCCCGCACGGTAAGGCTTCGTCTGCTTGGTGGGGAACCTCGGCCCCATAGCACCCCTGCCTTGGTTCCTGCCAGCCTCCACCTCCTGGGGCACCTCCCCGTGGCACTTCCCACCTCAGATACCCTGGGGCTGCGTGGAAATGAGCCCCAGACACAAGAGGAAGAAAAACTTGGCCCATCTGGCACGATCTGCTGTTACCTCCCGGCCCCAGGTGCCGGTTCCCTGGCAGGCTTCTTTCTTCATGCCTGACCGAGCTCCCTGGCTGTGTCTCTGCAGGATTTCTTCAGGTACTACTCCATGAAGGACAAGACGGAGTACCACGTGTACAACGCGGAGCTGGAGACCAAGAGAGACCTGATTAAGAAAGGTGAGGGGCTGCGAGGAAAGACGAGGCAGGGCTAAACCAGGGCTGTGCTGTGTGGGGTCTGCCATGCCCTATTTTTGTCTCTCCCCGCAGATGAGCTCAACGGGATGGAGCAGAATAACTCAAAGATCATCCCCGTCCACAGCCCTGACGAGAAGTCCTCGGTCATCTCCATTTTTAAGAAGGTCTGCGAGCTGCCAGCAGCCCCTGCCCTGCCCCTCGTGTCAGGAGACGGGCGCAGGGCATGGAAAAAGAGAGCAGCCCAGCAGCACCAACCTCTTTCTTTCATCTCCCCAGCTCTGGCTCATGGCTGTGTCTGTCTGTGCAGTCTTCACTGTCACCATCGGGGTCTTCCCTGCCATCACAGCTAAGGTGCACACCAGCCTCGGAGAGGAAAACGAGTGGGGTAAGCGTGGCCGGGCTGGGAGGGAAGCGGCAAGCAAGTTAAATGCCAGGAAGGGCAGTGGGGCTTGTGGAGGGGGGCACCCCGGGCACCACTGATCTGCTCCTCCTCCTCCTCCTCCTGCAGGTCTCTACTTCATCCCCGTCTCCTGCTTCCTGATGTTCAACGTCTTCGACTGGGCAGGACGGAGCCTCACTGCCCTCTTCACGTGGGTAAGCTCTCCATCACCCCTGTGCCCACAGCCTGGGGGAGGAAGGAGGCACAGAGCTGCCTCCTGCCCTGGCTGGAGGTCCGAAAGTAGAAATTTACGGGTTAGAAGCAAAAGCCACAGCGTTGTCCTGCCCTCCTCCCACCCCCTCTCGCAGCGGGGCTTGGATGAAGCTGTCTCCTCCGTTTCCAGCCTCTTTGTAAACAACCCTGCGCTCCAGCTATGCAAACAGCCGGGCAGGATGGCGGCGGTGGAAGAGGGTGAAAGGCAGGGCAGCCCAAAATAAAACCTCTGGCCCCCGCGCGGGGTGCAGCTGCTTTAAAGAGCCCGGTCCTGGGAGCAGAGCAGAGCCCTGCAGGTCCCCCCTGAGCTCTCCTCTCCTCTCCTGGTGCCGGGGTTGAGCGGTGGGCGAGGAGGGGGCTGTCCTGTCCTGCGTCCACCTCCCAAGTGCAGTTTCCCTTGCACGGTTTGGGCTGTTTGTTTGGAGAAGCTCCTCAGCAGCCTGGAGCTGCTTCTTCCTTGGAGCTGCCTGGGCTGTGGCGGTGGGATGAGCCAGCAGGAGCCGTTTCCAAAACAGAGCTGTGTGGAAAGTCTGACTGACTGTGGTTTTGGGCCCCGCTTCCCTGGCTGGGGCCCTCCTCTCTGCTCTGCAAACAAAGCAGGCAGCTGCTCTTGCTGTTTGCCTGCGGGCACAACAGTTGGTATAGCACCCACCACGTTCAGGAAACATCCCTCAGCTGCACCAGCCCCAGAGTGCTGCCACCTCCAGGGTCTGCTCCGACCCCAGAGCATGAAGTCCTCTCCAGCTCGGTGTGGCTCCTCTGCAGCCCTTGCTGCTGTGCCAGCCACCTCGGAGCTGCTCAGCGCCCCGTGTTTCTCCCCCAGCCCGGCAAGGACAGCTGCCTCCTGCCAGTGCTGGTGTTCCTCCGCGTCGTCTTCATCCCCCTGTTCATGCTGTGCAACGTGCAGCCCCGGCACTACCTGCCCGTCTTCTTCTCCCATGACGCCTGGTACATCATCTTCATGATCTTCTTCTCCATCTCCAACGGCTACCTGGCCAGCCTCTGCATGTGCTTTGGGCCCAAGTGAGTACGAGCTGGGGATGGGGGAAGAGCCGGTTACAGCAGTGGGTGCCCCGTGCGCTCTGCCTCTCCTACCAGCCCGGGGTTTGGAGGTAGATGCTCGGAGCGAGGCAGGATTTGTTCTTGCTGGCCTTCCTGCCGTGGAGGAGCACAGCCTCTGCCTCCTCGGTGGCCTCCTCTCAGCAGAGCTGATGCCAGGGCACGGGGCATGCGTCCTGGGAAGGGGTCTGACACGTGTTTTCATGTTTTCTCCCCTAGGAAAGTGCTGGCCCACGAAGCAGAGACAGCCGGCGCAGTCATGGCCTTCTTCCTGGCGCTGGGCTTGGCCCTCGGAGCCGCCGTCTCCTTCCTGTTCCAAATCCTCATCTAGCAGAGGCACCCCGAGGGTGCAGGGACACCGCCACGGCTCCGCATCCTCCTCCTCCTCCTCCGAGGCCCTGGCCACCTGAGCGCTGCGGGGACAGAGCACCCCGCGCCTGCCCCTTGCCACGGCAGACGTGACACCCGGGGACGGTTCCACTCCTCCAGGGCTGGCCTGGCTCCTGCCACGCTCGGCCGTGCGCTGCCTTCAGGCCTCCGTGCCTTCGCCCCCCCCGTGCTGTGTGTAAGACTCTGGGACCTCAGCCAAGGTCCTGCTGCCTCCCGCGCCGTGTAACTCCCCCAGCCTGACCCCGACAGCCGCGCTAAGCCTCCTGCACCTCTGCCAGGCGGCCTGGAAGGCTGGCACCCAGTGTTACCGCCCCTCCTGCCCCCACGCCTCGCCTCCTGCCCCGCTCCCTGCCTTGCTGCCCTCCCCACACACCCTGCACCCCCTTTCCAGCTCCCCCCGTGTACCACGCACCAGGTCCCAGCTGCAGAGAGGGCAGGGGGCAGCTCCCCGCCCCGTGTCTCTCCGTGTACCCGTTTTCTATAAAAAAGACCAAAATCTGTGTCCGTCTGCATCACTGCGGGGGCTTTCCTCTACAGCACCCAGCGCTGGGGAGGGCTGCGGGCACCCCGAGCGCCCCCTGCCGACCCGGAGCCCCCCCTTACAGGGCCACAACCCCCCAGCCCGCCCCACACCGTGCCCGAGCCCCTCGCAGCCCCACACGAGGAGCCGAGCGCCCGCAGCAGCGGGGCCCGACCGCCCCCCACGGCCGCCCGCGGCCGTCTGAAGGGCTCTGCGAGATCCGCGGTGCTCTTATTCCGCCGCTGTGCTCCTCCGCCGCCGTCCGCGGGAAGTAGTCCCTCGCCCCCCGCCGGCTCGCCGCTGTTAAACAGGCACTGGGGGGGCCCACCGATAGCACTGCCGCGTCGAGCCGGGTGGGAGCGCGGAGAGAGAGGCAGCAGAGTATCTGATGAGATAAGAGGAGGAGATAAGGGTTGGGAGGCCGCGGCGAGGCTCCGCTGAGCGGCGGCTGGGAGCAGCGCGGTGCGTGGCCGCTTTAAGGCGGAGGGAGCCGGCGGCTGGGGCGGGCCGGAACCCAGCCTATAAAAGGGCGGCCGGGGGGCTCCGTCAGCTTTTCGCGGCGGGCGGTCGGGGCGGCCAGGTAAGGAGCGGGGAGGGGGGGGCGGGCTGGGCCTTACCCTTCCCGTCCCATTCCCCTCCCTGTCCAGTTCTAGCGCCCCTTTTAGCCTGCGGGAGCTCGTCTCCAACGTCCTCCGACGCGAGCTAGCCCCCTGTCGGCTGGGGGCCTCTGGGAGACGCCTGGGGCTTGTGGCGGTGAGGGCAGGGGGGTGCTGAGCAGGGAGGCAGCAGGAGGAGCAGGAGGCACCGCCCTGGCCCCAGGGCACTGGATGAGATCCGCTGTGAGAGCCTGACCGGCCCCTCACAGCTCGGCAGCGGTGAGGACCTCAGTACCGACATAGTGCCCAGCCCCTGGGAGTGCACACTCACCCTGATGGGCATATGGGTATCGGGATGACAGAAGCCTGATCTCATCAACAACCTGGCCACCATCAGCCGAATCCAGCACCAAGGCCTTCATGGAAGCCCTGCAGGTGGGTTGTTTGGGGGTGTCTGGGATCCCAAGGGCCTGGGCACAGTCTGGTGTTGTTGTATAACCCCAGCCATGCTGCCTTTCTGGCTGTGGGAGCTGCTGGTCCTCCTGCAGTGTTTCTCCGCCTCTACAGCAGCAGGGAGGTGCGGAGGGTAGGGCTGGCTGCCTGCTGGCACTTGTTCCTTAATGTGTGCATACTGATGCAGTTCTTTGTTGGTTTAATCAGCTGCACACCTTTCCCATGTCCTCCCTGCTGCATTAGCATTCCTCTATCTCCACAGGCTGGTGCAGACATCTCCATGATTGGGCAGTTTAGTGTGGGTTTATACTCTGCCTACCGAGAAGGTGGTTGTCTTTACCAAGCACCACAATGATGAGCAGTATGCTTGGGAGTCATCAGCTGGGGGTTCCTTCACTGTCTGGTCTGACCATGGTATGTGTCACACAAAGCCAAGTGCGTCGTGCTGCTAGGCATGACCCTTTTCTTGGTGCTCCATAGAGCTGGGCTGTCCTGTTAATCACTCTGTGGTAATTTTGAGATATCAGGCAGCGGTTAGGCTCAAGGAGTTAGTCCCTGTTGTACTCTGCCCTTTAATGCAGTGCCCTGAAGCACAAATCTTTCTCCTCTCATGTTACAGGTGAGCCCGTTGGATGAGGCACCAAAGTGATCTTGTATCTGAAGGAGGACCAGACAGAGTACTTGGAGGAGAGGTGGGTCAAAGAGGTGGTGAAGAAGCACTCCCAGCTCATCGGCTACCTCATTATGCTTCATGTATGTAAGAGAAGAACTGGGGGACCCCAGGAAAGCTGGAGGGAAAGGGGTTGAGAGGAGGGAGCAGCCAGCAAAGAGCAGCTTCCAGCTTGTGTTGCTAGGGGTAGTATGAGGCTGGGGGCTAACTGGAGGTGAAATGTTCAGCCACACTGTTGAACTTTCATTGGTGCAGCTGGAGGTCACCCAGACCAGCCACAGAGAGAGGAGGGTTTCTTGCCTGCTATTCCCTTGAACAGTTCTTGGTTATGTAGATCCTGGAAGGGCTGTGAGGGCTGCTTTGGTGATAAGCTCCATTTCCAGGTGTTACATGGGTTGGGCCTTGTATTGCACCCAGGAGAATACCTCACATGGAGAAGGATTCCTGGTGATGTTTGCTTGGTGCTAGACCTGGGTTTGTGGTGATGATTTTCTTGTCCCTTCCTCCACAGCTGGAGAAGGAGTGTGAGAAAGATCAGTGATGATGAGGTGGAGGAGGAGAAAGGCGAGAAGGAAGGAGTCCAAGGATGAGGAGAAACCCAAAATTGGGATGCGGGCTCTGATGAGGAGGAAGGAGACAAAGGCAAGAAGAAAAAGACCAAGAAAATTAAGGAGAAATACGTTGACCAGGAGGAGCTGAACAAGACCAAGCTTCACATGCCACATCAATGTGCATTGATGGGAGAGGGTAAGTGTGGGGAACGCGCGGTGGGTGCTGGAGGTGCTGGCTGAGCTGTCCAGGCAGTTCTGTATGGCAATCCTGGAGCTGCTCTGAGAATCCCTGCTTATCCTCAGCACTGAGGAGAAGCTCAGTGTTGAGCTTATTGCGGGTCTCCTCATAATGGGGTCTTCTTAACCTGCTGCCAGTCACTCTGAAGGTGCTGACCCCCCTCTCCTGTCCCTCTCCTCTCCTTTTAGGTACTGATGAAGATGAGGTGACTGCAGAGGAGCCCAGCACAGCTCCCCCCGATGAAATCCCCGCTCTCAAGGGAGAGGAAGACGGGTCCTGTGTGGAAGAGGTGGACTAAAGTAGGGGCAAACCTCCTGTGTCTCCTGCCAGGCCTCCACCCCACCTCACCGCTGGGAAGGGGGCTGATTCCCCCCCCCCCTGCTGCTGCTGACCCCTTGGGGTTGTCTTTGGATTCCCTTTGATTTGGGGGGGGAGGAAGGGAGACACGGTTCCCTGTCTGAGTGAGTGCCTTGGGCAGCTCTAGGCTGTTTGTCCTTGGGGCTTTCAGCCCATCAGGTGGGGAGAGTCCTTCTGAGCTGCTGCCTCCCCAGAGCAGGATGTCTTTTGGTCGGCTTGGTTCTCTCTCATGTATTTTTCTGATGTTGTTCTACTGGAATTAAAGTACCAAATGGGCTGGGTTTACACAGAGGGGCCCCTTGTGTTTGGTGTCGGTGCCCGAGCCCTGCGGGGCGTGCCATGCAGGTAGGTGACACGGGCCCTGCTGTGCAGGACTCATCCCCAGCTGGGCAGCAGCTCGGCCAGAGCCCTGCAGCCTAGGAACAAACATTTTCAAGCTGTGCCTACCAGCTGGGCACACTGAGCCAGGCTGTGAGTGCATGCTGCTGCAGGCTGGCCTCCAGCTTCCCTCCCACCCGTGTCCTGCTGCTCCTGGGCTCGGCATCTTGCTGCTCCGTGTCTTTTTCCAGTTTCAAGAGGCAGCACCTCCGGTTCACGTGCCCTTCGCACTGCCCCCACTGCTGGGCCAGCTTCTGGTTTTGGCAGGGGAAGGGACACCAAGTCCCAGGGCTTTCGCAAGGCATGCGCTGGGCGGGTGGATGGGGTGTGTGGAGCTGGTGTTGGTGCGTGTGTACCCTGTAAATTCTGTTCCCTGACAGTGCTGCCCAGCTGTGCCTGCAGGGATCTCTCTCTGTGGTCCCAGAGAGACTTGGGGAGGGTTGCTCCCCTCCTTCCAGGTAGAGAGAATAAAAATAATTAAAAAAAATAAAGAACATTTACCCCCAGGGTACTATATGCAGCATATCTTTAATTTAATAAAATAGAGGAAAAAAAGTTGCCTTTCAAAAGTACCAAAACCTGCTGGCTTCTCAGTCAGCTCGTGTGGGGGAGGCCGGGGGCAGCCACGAAATGCCGGGCTCCTGGGGAAAAAAGAGCGCTGGGAGTGGCCCCCCTGCCCCTTCCCTGCTGGTGCCCGCGTGCTCCGTCCCCTGCGGCGCAGGGACAAGGCACTGCAGCGGGCTCTGCCCCCTCCTGCAGGCCTCCAGGCACTGGGGGGGCTCTGGCAAGACCCTAAGAAAGCCGGGGTCAGTGCCTCCAGTTGGCAGGGAAAGGAAAAAATGATGAAAAATGATGAGGAGGGTGGGTGGTGGTTGTGCTTCTCCGAAGGGCAATGACGCAGCCCAGAAGCAGCCTGGAGGTGCCCCCAGGCTTCTGGGCGCTGCGGCCTTTGGCCTGTAACAGCAGCGGCTGGAACCGAAAAGTAACCTACAGGGCTCAGCAAGCCTGGGCAGCTGCGAAAAGGGACGTGGAGCTGGGGCAAGGGACTGCCGAACCCAAACTCTGAGGTCCTGGCCTCGACTCCAGCTCTCCTGGAGCAGATCCCAGGCCTGGGGTAGGACGGGCTGCTTCAGAGCCGCGCCTGTCCTACCTGGAGCACCTCCTGGGAAGGGGGCTGGAGGGGCTGGCAGCTTCTGTCCTCTGCTCCCAGCCCCAGCACAGGCTCAGCTCGGTGCTTCCCTCGTCGTAGGGATGTCCCCAAGGCAGCGCTAGTGTTTTGCTTCCTCCTGCTGAGCCCTGGAGTAGTGACCGAAATGTGGAGACGTGCCAGCCAGAGGCAAGACGGGGCTGGGGAAAAAAAGCTCCCTTGTTCAATCTGACCTTGGAGGGACGCCACGAGGCGCGGGCGGGGCAGGAGCACCAGCAGCTCCGCGCTGGTTTCCCCCTGTGCCTCGGCTGGAAGCCTCTGACCCATTAAGGCAAAGAAAAAGGGTTGGGGCTGTGGCAGCCTGGCCTCGCCGCAGCCCCTTCCCTGGGAAAAGCAGTTGGAAAAGCGAGTCACTGGTCCCGCCTGCCCCTACCCCAACCCTGCTCCTCGGCGGGGTCCCCCGGTGGAGGTGGGACAGCGGGCACAGCTCGGAGGGACCCCGGCTGCCTAAACCTTCTGCGCGGGGGTCTCGCCGGCGGGCAGCTTCTTGCTGCGCTTCTTCATGCGGCTGCGGGCGTAGACGCGGAGGAAGAGGGCCAGGAAGACGACGGCGACGCCCAGCCCGCCCACCACGGTGACGGTGTGGCCGTAGATGAGGCAGGAGAGGAGGATGGCGAAGGCCTGGCGGAGCGTCATGATGATGGTGAAGACGGCGGCGCCGAACTGGTTGATGGTGTAGAAAATGAAGAGCTGGCCGCAGGCCGAGCACACCGACAGCAGCACGGCGTGCGCCGCGAACTCCGAGTGGCGGGCCATGAAGCGCAGCGACTCCAGCAGGGCGCCCTGCTCCAGCAGCGAGCCCACCGTGAAGAGGCAGGAGAAGACGTTGACGCCGAACATCATCTGCACGGGGGACATCTTGTAGGTGAAGAGGGCGTCCTGCCAGTTGGAGGTGAAGCTGTCGAAGACGATGTAGCCGGCCAGCAGCACCACGCCCGAGAAAGTGGTGACGGTGGAGGCGTGCCGGTGGGGAGCGCTGGACAGCAGGAACATGCTGACCCCCACGGAGATGAGGGCGGCCGTCAGGTACTCCCAGTACTCGTAACTCTTGCGGGACACCAGTTTGCCCATCATCATCACCGGGATCACCTTGGAGGCCTTGGCCAGCACCTGGGTGGGGAAGCTGATGTACTTGAGCGCCTCGTACTGGCACCAGCTGCTGAGGATGTTGGAGAGGGAGGCGAAGGAGTACTTGTACATGGGCGCCCCGTGGCGCGGCTGCTTGGTCAGGGCGCAGTACAGCCCGGCCACCGTGAAGGCCAGGATGCGGTTCATGAAGACGAGGAACTGGGAGTCCTTGAACTTCTCACCGGGGTCCGTTTCGGTGGCGCCGTACGTCCTCGTCATCACGCGCTCCTGGAGGACGCCCCACGTCAGGTAGGAGGCCTGCAAAGCGGGAGGAGCACGGACTCAGGGTCCTGCTGGGGCAGGAAGGACGGAGCCAGCCCGCTGTTCCTTGTGGTCACAGCTGGGAACAACCAGTCCCAACCTGAACCAGCCCTGCCCCGTTTTCAGCCTCCTCCCGGGAAGAGAAGCCCACAGAGCGACACCCCAGCGCACAAGGAGCGGTTGTTCCGAGCTGCCTGCTGAACCAGGTGGGCAGGGCTGGGGGACGTTACCGATGCCTTGCCGTGGGTTCGGTGCCAGCTCCCTGCAGTAGGGCCTGGCGCTTCTCCCAGTGGCCTCCGCATCGATTTTCACTTCCAACTGCCCAGGCCCATCCAAATCAAACCGAGTTTCAAACCCAGCAGATGAGATGTTCCTCTGGGGATGATCACTGGCTGGCACCTCTGCTATTTGTGCAGCCCTGGTGCCACAGCCCCTCCCAAAAGGAGCACAGACCTCTCCCATCATCCATCCCCTCCCGAGAAACCGCGCTGCAGAGACACGAAATGACTTGGGGGTGTCCTCGCAGCACGGCTGCGTGGGCACCGAACGGGAGGCCAGGATGTGGGTGTCTTCTGCTGGCTGCAGGTTTCGTAGCACAGAAATTATTTTTAGTCCTCACAGACCCAAAAAGCTTTGGCTGTAGATGAGACCTGAGGAAGCTAAAATTAAAAATTCCTCTTTTTTTTTTTCTGTAGCTGGAGGGCAGCAGTACGAAGCAGCCCCCAAAGTGACCCTGGGAATTAAGCGGGCTCAAGCTACCTGCTGCTCTGATAAGGGCCAGAACAAAAGCAGCCCTAATAACTCCTGCTGACACTCAGAATTTTCCCTATTCATGGCTCAGACAGACGAGTTGTCCCAATGCAGATGATGCCAGCTGAACAGCTCTGAGGTGATGCAGCAGCCCCGCAGGAGAGGCTGTGCCCCAGCCTCCAGCCCAGCCATCAAGGACAGCGCTGCATCCTTGGCCTTCAAGGGCTGGGGGCACAAACCCAGTGTCCAGCTGCCCCTCCCGGAGCAGGAAGGCCATACAAACATGCAGAACCCTTACCTGCAGCCCAGCAGCACAGAAGAGCAGCTTCAGGACCTGTCGGGCTGTGGAGGACTCCGCGGGCTCTGCTCGGGGCGGCAGGGAGCCATCGTCCGGGTGTGCGGACTTCACCTCGGAGCCGAACACACACGACTTGATGACAGGGAAGCAAATGCCTCGGCCTGGAGGGGGTAAGAGAAGAGAATTCACCACCAGAGCCGGAGAGGCACAGCCTCCCTCCTTGCTGACCTCGGGGGAGGCAGGAGGTGGAAGGGAAGCCGCTGCCCTTACCTGTCTCCAGGTAGTTCTTTCTCTTGAAGTACTGGATGAGGAGGAACCCTGGCACCACGATACTCGCGTAGCCAGCAGCGTTGACGAAGAAACGGAAGAGCCAGAAGTCCCCCCAGGCGTCCTGCAGGGCAGGGGGGAACCCTTCCCCTGCAGCCATGGCGGGGAGCGCAGCCAGCACGAGGGGAACGCAAAATCTGCGGGCACGGAGAGGCAGGCGGTGGGCTGCCAGCACCCAGATCCCACCCCAGAGATGTCGGGCAGGAAAAGGTCCCTGGGGCTTCGTTAGCAGCTGTTAATTGTGTTTGCTCTGGCTCGGCAGCACTCGGACTGGGAAGCCTGGGCTTCCTAGGATGGGAGAGGGTGTTTGAAGATAAAGGGCTGCTTTGGGGCAGAAAGCAGCTCCGAGCCCAGCCTCCCCAAGGGCAGCCCCTCAGGAATCCAGCAGGAATGGGCGAGGCTGGGGTTGGGATTTTACCAACCCCCCGAAATCCTGCAGCTTTAGCCCAGCCCGGGGGGAGCTCACCCTTTCTCCGTCCCATCTCCCAGCCAGACCAGGACCCCCCCAAACACCCCCCTGCCAGCCCCGCCGCCAACCTCAGCGCCTTGGGGTTGGAAATTTGGGGTTGGAAAGCCGAGAAAAGCCCCCACACCCTCCCCGCCGGCCACGTCTCCCTTCCCCACACCGGGGCTGGCAGCCGCCGGGCCCCGCTCGGCTCCGCCGTGCTGCCGCCACCCCCTCGGGTCCCGGAGGAGGAGGAGAAGCGGCCCCGGCCCCCGGGCTCGCCCCCCGCTGCCCACCTGCGGCCCGCTGCGGCCCGGCCCCGCTCCCGGCCGCCTGCCCTCGGCCCGCTCCCGGCGGCGGCCATGGCCCTGCCGCCCGCCCCACACCGCCCCCTGCCGCCGCGGAGGGGCCGGGCACCGCCATGGGGAGGCCTCGGGCCGCCCGTCAGGCCCCACAGCCCCAAATCCCCCCCAAATCCCCACACCCCCACACCCCAACACCCCAAACACCCAGCACACAGGTAGAGGTGGCCCCCACGAGGCCGCCCAGAAGCATCTTGTGACACTCGTTTAAAAAAAACACCACACTTTTATTAAAAAAAAAAAGAAAATTCTAAGTGCAGATGGCTTGATTCTGGGTTTTTCCGCCTCCCTCCCTCCCCCCCACCCCAAGCTGGTGCCGAGCCATCTCCCCCATGGCTGCTGAAGCGCCCTGGGCAGCTGTGGGGAGGTGCTGCTGTTCCCAGCCACGTTCCCTCACACCCATGGGGGACAGGGGAGGGAGGCGAGCAGCTGGAGGGATGTGGGAATCAGCCTGCCATGGGGGAACGCAAAGCTTTTAGACAACCTCCTGTGCCAGGAGATGGGTCGGGATCTTTCACACTGGGTCCAGAAGAGGAACCGTGGCAGCGGGACGTCAGGCGTGGCAGCAGAAGCAAGGATCCGTCACCCCATTTCTGGCACCTCCCGTGCTCTGTGCCTTCAGCCCCCATGGCGAGTGCTTGGTGGGGGGACAGAGCACCAAGCAGCGGGCTGGGCCCCCCCGTGAACCCAAAACAGGCTCTGCAGGCGGGGATCCCCCCTCCTCCCCGCTCCTCTCTGCTGCCCGCTGCCCCTCACCGTGCTGCCAGGCGGGGAGCGGGGTGGGTTGGATCACACGAGACCTGGGGTGCCCGCAGTCAGAACAAAATTTATTAGAGCGAGGGGTTCCTGCTCACCCCACACTTGTTCTGCTGGTGTTTGGGGTGCCAGGGGACGCTCTGTCCCCCGTGCGGTGTGATAAAGGAGTCCTCTCCTGCTCCGTCCAGGAGCCTGCAGAGCCCAGCAATTCACACCCGTGGCAGGGAGGGGAAATTCAGTCCTGCTGGGCACGAAGCCTAGAAAAAAAAAGCCTTCCCCATGTGTAGTGCTCATGGTGCCGCCTCCCACCGTCCAGAAAGGCAGCCTGAGGCCAACAAAACTTCTCTCCCGGGAGGGTGAAACATCTCCCAGCATGGCTCCGCGCCCCCGGCACTGCGGGCAGGCAGGGTCCCGGCGGGCATCAGGGCAACAGCGCGGGGCGAGGAGGCTGCCCGCCGGGCCAAGGAGTCCAGCCACTCACTCAGAGCACACCACGGGCTTCCCCGAGATCTTCAGGTCGTCGAAGGGCAGCAAGGCGAGGAGCTGCAGAGACCAAAGGTTTTTTTGTGTCAGCATCCAGGCTGCTTCTCCGCCGGTCCCCTCCAGCCACCCGCCTCCCCGGGGAGGTGCCGCCCCACGAGGGGCTGGCAGCGCTGCCCGCACTCACGTCGTCGTTGCCGTCAGCCAGGTCCTGCGCCGTCTCGTTCTCCATGTTCCTCAGCAGGGTGTCAGCCCCGGAGTGCGAGAGGATGGAGGCGATGGCGGCGTCCCTGTGGCACACGGCCAGGTGCAGCGGGGTGCAGCCGTTGTACATCTGGGCGTCCACGTAGGCCCCGTTGAGCAGCAGGAACTGCACGGCCCTGCGGTTGCAGCACTCCACTGCCAGGTGCAGCGGGGTCTTGCCGCTCGTGCCCTCCTGCGGACAACAAGGACGTGGGTGTAGGGTCCCCAGAGCCCCCCATCTGCCCTGATCCTTCCTCTCCACCCCATCCAAGCGGAGCGCTTCCCTGCTCCAAAGCCGGGGGACGTCCGCTTGGCAGCCCGTCCTCACCTGAACGTCGATGTTGGCACCGCTCTGCAGCAGCAGCGACATCATCTCGATGTTCCCCTTCAAGGTGCTGATGTGCAGACAAGCCAAGCCTGGGGCGGGGAGACAGGAGAGAGACACCCTCAGCACCCCGCGCAGGCCGGCTTCGCGCGTAGGCGACGCAGAGCCGTCACCATCTAGGTCTCACCTTGCCAATTCTGCAGCTGCAGGTCCTGGTGGTGCTCGGGGGGCTCGGCCGTGCCCTGCAGCAGCTGCTGGGCGCAGTAGAGGCACTGCTGCTCGCAGGCCAGGTGCAGGGGGGTGTTGCCGTTGCGGTCCTGCAGCCCCAGGTTGACTCCCTTGCGCATCAGCGCCTCGACCACAACGGGCTGCTCCAGGTACACGGCCAGGTGCAGCGGGGTCTGGCGAGGAGCAGGGGGCAGAATTAGGGGGCTGGAGGGGCATCCCTTCACCCTCGGTGCTGGGAGATGCCGATTCCCTCCCCCTGGGTTTTCTCCTCCCCAAGAAGGGACTGCTCACACGGGACCGTCGCCGTGCTCTGTGGCGTGTGGGTGAGCAACCCCCGGGGAAAGGGCAGGTGGATTGGGTGCCTGCTCGGGGTGGCACCCGCCCTCCTCTTCTGCCCATCACAGCCACATACCTGGAAAAGGTCATTCTGGGTCTCCAGCATCTCTGTGGGCAGGTGAGCAATGCAGAAGAGAGCCACATCGGGGGCGCAGTGGATAATGGCCAGGTGAACCAACCTGCAGAGGGGAAAGAGGTGGAAAAAGAAAGGAAAAATCAGTCCCATGTGACCCATCCGTCCCCTCTGAGCACCGGTGGCTCCTCTCCCTGGCCCCATCACGCAGACGGGCCTCCAGCCCTGGGAGGATGGAAGAGGCCAGGAGGTGTAACGGAGAGCCTGAGGGCTGGCTTTGGCCACTGGGTGGGAGGCTTGGAGCCGGGTGGCTGCCAGGGGAATTCCAGCTCCCCGCTGCTGGCCGCGCAGGACAACACTTCTGTTTTCCCCTGCACCAGGGTGGTCAGCAAAAGCCAGGCAGGAACCCGGCAGCGATCCAACTCCACCTGTGTGGCACAATCCCCGCGCCAGCCCACGCCGATTTCCTCTTCTCCCTTCCACATCCTTCCCCTTTGGCAACGCCGGCACCGGGCAGAGGGACACCAGAGCTCCCCGCAGAGCTTGGTGGCCAGCAGAGAGCCCCAGTCCCCGTTACCCACGGCTGTTTGACGCCCCGGCAGCCTGGGCTGCCCCAACCTGAGGGCAGATTTCCTTCCCATCCCACTCGTCCCTTCCCCTTCCTGCCGTGATGCTCGTGCGGGTTTCGCCCCGGTCCTCGCTGTCCACGCGCAGTCAGAACAGAAGTGAGAGCAGCAGCAGCGAGCCCGGAGGGAGTTTCCAGCCCGGCAGCGCTAACCTGCTGCGCCCCAGCCCCTCCTGCACAGGGGTCTGGGCCCCTGGAGGGCATGGGGTGGAGGTGCAGGACAGCTCTTGAAGGCAGGAGGGAGGTGGAAGGGCGCAGGGCCCGAGCAGCCCAGCAAAGCCACCTCCTCCACGGGCCAAACCAGCACCTGGCACCCCGGGCACCCTCAGGCGAGCCCCATTTTTGGTGGCGAAACAAGCAAGTTCCTCTTCGCCCCACTGCCTGCGGAGAGGCTGTGCCCAAAGGGCTGCGTCCCCGGGGAAGCCCCGGGTCACGATGCAGCAGGGAATTCCCCGTGGGAAGCAGAGGACACCCACGTTTTGCCTCCACGAGGCCACCGAGTGCACCCTGCACCCCCGATGCTCATGGGGAGGGCAGGGGGCTGTTGGAGTCCACACCAGGACCAGCTGCAGGTGCCCCCAATGCCCTCAGCAGGGCTCCCACGGCCCTGAGGGAGCAATCAGGGCAGGGAGATGCCCTGATGGGTTTGCACCTGCACGAGGGTGGCCTCTGCCCGCTGCCGGGGACAGCCCCTGCTTCTCCAAACCCGCTCCCGGGTGCCACGTGCGAGGGGAGGGCAGGATGTGTCGCTCGCAGGTACGGAGCCCTCAGCTCAGCCCGGGGACTTTCCGAAGCCATTCAGGTTGAACTTTAAACCCCTGCTGCTTTCACTTTCCAGAGCCCAACTTGGCTCCCGGGGGAGAGAGCTGTGCCCAGAGGCGACGTGCCGGAGGGGGGGGGAGCACCCCTTAGGAATCCCCCGCGCCCCACGCCACCCCGTCCCCACGTGGGCACAGGTGGGGCGGCCACACGGGGGAGGTGGAAACCCCAGCCTTGCACCAGCAGCACCTCCCTCGCCCCGGGACGGGCGGCCCTGCAGCTCCACGTGAGCCCAGCGTGGAAGCTGACGCCAAAATTTGGACATCTTTGCTGCAGGGGGGTCGGAGGCTGCACCGCCAGCGACCCTTCCCAGAGCTCAGCCTTTCACCTCGACGCTGGGACGTGCCCGCTTCGCAGGACTGCCATTAATTATTTTTATTTTTATTTTCCACCCCCTGTGTCTTCCTTCTCCACCCAGGCACAGCCTCCTCCCGTGCTTTCGTTTCTGCATTCGTTCCCCTCTTTCCTCATCCGCCGGGCCTCAACTTCCCGAAACGGCTGCAGGGGCCGCGAGCTGCTGGGGGAGCACCCAGCAGCACCGGGTCCCAGGAGGTCCCCATTTAGGTGCACCCGTGCTGTCCGCGGGAACAATTTGCTCCCAGCTCCTCGTTTCGCCTGAGCAGAGGAGTAGGAAGCCGTGCAGGCGTTTTTTGTTTTTTTTTTTTGCACAAGGGGAGCTCGTTAGCAGGAGGAAATGGCATCAGCAGCAAGGCAGGGGAGCGCGAGCGGGGAGGAAAACAGCGGGGGAATTCCACGCTTGCCCTGCTCCCCTGCTCCTTCATCCTGCCCTGCTAAGCGCTTCCTCGGGCAGCAGCAGGACCCTCTGGCCAGGAGGAGCAGCGCGGGCAGCCCAGCGCCGAGGTGAGCCTGTGCGGGCGGAAAGCCTGAGGAGGCATCCTCGAGGGCAGGCTGAAGTCATCCGAGCAGGGAAAAACCTCTCGCCAGCACGGCCTCGAGAGGCCTTCGCTGCGTCAAGTCAGCTTTGCAAGCGTGTGAGCCCTGCAGACGCCAGGAACTTTGGGGGAAAAGTGGTTAAAAGAGGCAAGAGGAGACCTCGTGCTTGATGGCTGCCCCAGCAGGCGAGGCTCAGCAGGGAAGACCCCCCCGGGCTACCACAGTGACGGGGAGCCCAGTAC